CAACTTCTGCTCTGTCTAGCTATTATTAAACGGTAATTTCCTATAGGCATCATAGCAGAACAGAGTTGTTTTTTGTGGGGGAGGGGAATGGGATTGTAAAGAGGAGGGTGCATAACTTAGGGTAGGTCTACACTACACTCTAAAATAAAAAAAAGTTACGCAATTTGCACTATGCAAATTGTGTATTTTATTTCGATTCTTTTTCAAAATAGGCTATTTCAAAATTTGGCACGTCTACACAGTGCCAAATTTCAAAATAAAGCACTATTTACGGGGATGCCGAAATAGCGCGTCAGCTATATTTCACAATAGCAGATGTGTTCCTTGGATGTAGGGTAGCTATTTCAGGATACCTCGGGTATCCTGAAATAGCCCTACAGTGTAGACATACCCTTAGTTCAGGGATGCCATTCCATACATACAGAGGAAAGATGTGGAAGAAAGAATTCAGGTGATTGTTGGTGATGCAGACAAATAGAAAGCCAGGCTGGTATTGTTGGTGGAACTAAGAATATGGGAGCAACAGAAGCAGAGAGGAGAGGAGACAAGCTCGGTGTGGGAGAGATTCAGGAGGCCCTGAAGGTGATGACACAAACATTGAACTTGGAGTGAGGGAAATGGGGGAGCCAGTGGAAAGATTAAAATGAGGATTGACCAGGGTAGAACAATGGGAAAAGAAAATGATTGTAGCAGCTGGAAAGATCTTATACTTAAAGTTCTTAGACTTGCTCACTGCTTGCTTTGCATATAAGGAATAGCAAGCTGAGGTAACTAAGGCAATGTCTGGTAAGGCTATGTTGATTCTGCAAGCTGGGGATGTGAGTTCCAGGACAAGGAGACCAGGTATACACTATAAACGTACATTATTATGACTGTGTCCCTCGGGTATGAAAACTCCAACCTCCTGAGCAGTGTAGTTCTACTGACCAAACCCCTGTTGGCATAGAACCTCTTCACTGAAGCACTACAGTGGTGCTGCCGCACCATAGCAGAGTTTTAAGTGCAGAGACGCCCAGAGACATACTAGTATTAACTCTGTGAGCTAGCGTGATAAAAGCTAAGGTGTAGCTGGGGCAGCACAGGCAGTGGTGGGGGGTGGCATAAGCTATTCCTGCTTAGTATGTACCCAGGGAGTTCAGGGTAGGGATGCAATAGTGTAGTTGATTAACCAATTAACCGATAAGCAACAGCTTATTGGCTGATGCTATAGACTACACACTTTTTCCTCCCCTCCCCTCCCCTCCCAGCAAAGTTTTTGGCAGGCTGGCCACCAGCCCAGCTCAGTCCTGGCTTGCAACGGGTCCAGGACCTCCCCCTGCTGCAGCTCTGCGTTTAAAGTGTATTAGGAGCAAGGCAGGCAGGCAGCTCAGCTCAGTCCTTCTTCACATTGGGTCCAGAGGCTAGCCGTGCTGTGGCTCTTCATTTAAAGTATATTAAGAGCTGGGTGAGGGGCAGCCTGGCTCAGTTCCAGCTGGCGCAGGGTCCAGGAACTCAGACACCCCCCCCAGACAGGGGCTGCTGCCACCCCGTGCTGTTGTCTCTTTATCAGAGGCAGCAGCACAGCACAATAGGCAGCCACTCCACAAGGGGAGCTGGTTTTTAAACTGTCTCCCCTCACGGACCAGCTCCCACATGGCACCCCATTCTGCTGCCTCTGATGCAGAGGCAGCAGCGCGGTTGTATCAGGGTGCTCCTTGGGAGTGAGGCCCGAGCACGCTGGCTGCTGGTCCCAGCCTGGGGACTATAGAACAGTCGACTAGCCAATAAGAATTCATGAGGTTACTTGATTAGTCAATTATTCAATATTTAACATCCCTAGTTCAGTCCAGTTTGTATTTAGCACAGCTGGCCTCCGCCACCATTCACAGCTGTCCTGCTGCTGTTGTGACACAGCTATTTTAGTGAGATAGGGTAAGCATGTCTGAGCTGGGAATCACATGCCTAGCTCATAGTGCAGACATAGCCTTACATGTCAAGGTGCTGTAAGAACGTATAAACGGAAGCACTTTACTGTACTTTCATTTATATTTCCCTAGAGCCTCTCAGCGTGTAAGTTGCACCAACTTCGACTGCATTAAACATTATTAGAGCATATAACTAGGCTTATGGGAGTTGTCCTGAGGATAAGGTTGTCAATGGAGGTCTGATTTCAGCCACTTTACACACCACCTCTGAATTTAGCCTATTATAATAACACTGCTCATTAATCCCTATCCACATACTTCAGTGTATTTTCTTAGCAATTGGATACCCCCTTTGGGCAAAATCATCTCCAGCATTGTCTTCTGAGCTGCATGAATTGTTTCTGAATCTGGTCATGTTGCTCCTCATTTCCACCTGTATGAATCGCAGCAGAATTTGGTCTCTTAGGAACATCTTCCAAAGCTTAATTTTTCACTTGTCCCATGGTGAAAACAGTATAGAATGTGGTGATGTGTTTGCTTAATGCAGATTTTTCTGAGCACTGGAATTACCAAGGAGATTGCTTAAAAAAAGTCTAGATATTAGCAGGGTGGCCCCATTGTGTTCTAGGTTGCTGTGTTGTTTTTTCTGAATCAGACAATGCATTTCTTCTGCAGCATGGATATACTTTCAGTTGAGAAAAAAACAAATGTCTGCTGGGTCTTTTTGACATTAAGCTGTTGCTGAAGATGTTAACGGAAAAGTAAATGTACTAATCATTGATAACAAAGCAGCCTAATCCATGCTGACCTACAATTTGTTTAAGATCCTTTGGAGCAACAGAGAGATTAAAGTGTATATAAAAAAGAAGTAAACAGTGGGTCAGAGATTAGAAGTGAAGAAGGAAAAGGCTGGCTTCCCCCAGACCACACACTGATAGTAGACCTTCCTTGAGCAATTGTTAGAAAATGTTTCATGTTTCTCTTCCCTCTCCCAACCTAAGAAAACAGAAGGTTTGATTGGCACTTGTCATGGCTGATAGAGAGAGGAAGATGCTTTGGTAAAAAGGAGAGGGAGGCAGCCGTGTCAAAAGCAGCAGCAGTCAAAGGATGACTCCTTCTTTCTGTGGTTTTGTCTTTCTCTAAATTATTCAAATCTGGGTGGCATCTGAGGATAACTGGCATTTTGACACAGCTTAAAGGATTGTCTCACTAACTCTATTGAACTGAGGCTGCCATCCTTTTTAAAAAATGTATAAAGAGAAATCTTCTATAATCTGATACGTATACAAATGAAAGGCAGCTTGATACCCGAGGTCTTTCAATATTTTTGGGGAGGGACAAATTTATCCATTTCTTGACTAATCATTGTTTTCTTCTGTGTACAAGAATGCCACTTATTGACTTTAAAAAGGTTTTATTTGATTTTCTTTAGAATAGCCATAGTTGCTTGAACTGCATCTGGTGGCTACAAATTCAAATCAAGCCAGCTGGATTAGCATCAACAAATGTAGGGAATTTTCTGTCAAAGGTGGTTTCTCCCCAGTGAGGGATCTCCTTTATTGATGGTCCTTCTGCTAATGGATTTTTCTTTTACTGGCAATTTCCTTCATAAGAACATAAGAACGGGCATACAGGATCAGACCAAAGGTCCATCTATCCCAGTATCGTGTCTTCTGACAATCCGTTCCAGGTGCCCCTGAGAGAATGAACAGAATATGTAATCAACAATCAATCAATCTCCTTTTACCCATTCCCAGCTTCTGATAAACAGAGGCTAGGGACACCATTCCTGCCCATCTTGGCTAATAACCATTGATGGACCTATCTTCCATGAATTTATCTAGTTTTTTAAACCCTGTTAAAGTCCTGGACTTCACAACATCCCCTGGCAAGGAGTTCCACAGGTTGACTGTGTGTTGCATGAAGAAGTACTTCCTTTTATTTGTTTTAAATCTGTTACCTACTAATTTCATTTAGTGACCCCAAGTTCTTGTGTTATGGGAATAAGTAAATACTTTTTCTTTATTTACTTTCTCCACACTAGTCATGATTTTATAGTCCTTCCTTCCTTCCTTCCTTCCTTCCTTCCTTCCTTCCTTCCAGGCATCATGGCACTCCACAGTTCATTGTGGGCTCCATAGTGTTACCAACTCTTTTGTCATTCTGAGCTGCCATTATACTTATTGGTCTCCTCTCCATTTAACTAAGTTCCTGCTGGAACCAAACCTACCTCACCATATCCACTCGTTTTACGAGGCATAAGGGATCTGTCGCCAAAGGCTTTAGTGAGCAATAGATCCGTGGCTAGACTGCCATTTTTCGTTGCCAAAGCTCCGTGGCGACAAAAAGCGGCGGCCATTTTTATGCTAATGAAGTGCGGGAGATTTAAATCCCTGCTTCATTAGCAATTTTGGTAAGTCTAATTTACATCCCTCTGGTGACAGAGGGATGTAGTCTAGACATACCCTTAAGGTGAAGTTATTTTATTTTGTTTTGTTTTATAAAAGCAAAAGCAGAAATGGGTTAGGCATGCATCAACTGTTACTGTTATTTGGTAAATCAGATTTTGAAGTTTCACCTGTTTTCACCACCATAACAGAGTATCAGTAAGGGTAAAATGGAGTAGGAGCAAAATGTGTAGCCATCGATACCTGTATTAACACTTATTCTTGAGAGTTTGGTGATTCATACAGAGTGCTGTGTTTGTGTGAGCTTGTATAATGTTCCACGACAGCATGCATCCATAAGGTCTGATTTTCTCTCTAAGTTCCCTTTGCATGTCTATAGTATGCTCTGAGGGATTTCTAAGTGTTTTACAAACATTAACTTCTTAAGCCTCACATCAGTTTATGAAGGAGGTATTCCTCTCCCACCCGGAGTCAGAGAAAGGTTGTAATTTCCCCAAGTTTACCTAGCAAATTGATGGCATAGCTGACTCCAAATCATGTGATTTGAACATTTTAGGTCATATTTCCTCTCAGAAATGTGCTGGGAAATGGCTAAAAGAGATGCACATGTCCCTCAGATGTTTTTTCTATTCAGAACACTGCTTATTTCTGTTACCTTCATGTGAGGTTTATGTTAAATATCTTCCAGTACTGAAAGAACCAGTTGAAGATTCACATAAGGATGTGGATAGCATTGGAAAATCCAGACGACCTAGTCAGCCAAATAGAGGAAGACCTCCCACACTGGACCACACCATTCTGCAGGGCATGGAGCAACAACTACAAGATGAGGAAAGACAAGCTCAAGTGCTACGTATTTATTCAAAACTCCATGAGACTCAGGTTCCTGCACTGCGAGCACCTGACATGAAGTCTATCTACAACTTTGAAGATTGTGAGTTCTTATGTTCGAGTTTGTTTGAAGTTGTTTACTCAGAGCATGTCCCACACTGATTGATCCAGTGGTGGTTGATCTGAATGTATCAATTTTAGCTTCATTCGTCACATAGAAGAAGTTGCATAACTTAGATCAATGGCCCACGAGCGTGTATACCAGTCCTCAGTAAAAGCACTGAGGTCAAAAGGGAGACAGAATAATAGCTTTCCATAATTTTTGCTTCCAAAGCACATTGTGAACCCAGTGCAGCCACACTTTTCGTATATTGCTATAGTTCAGGCATTAGCACTACTCTAAAATAAGTGTTAACCCTGCTGTTATGGAGATGGACAAGAATGTTCTTTTAATGTTTCTTTCCTTTGCAAAGGGATATGTACCATTCTTAGTAGCAGAAACACAACGGGCCATATTTTCAGTACTACCAGCCTGAGTTGCCCTGGTTAAAATTCTTCATTTATCCATAGCACACACAGAATCCACAGTTGTACATGTAAATGTGAAATCTCTGCATTTATCCATAGTACACAAGTCCCATATTTGTGCATGGAAACCAGCTGAATGGCATACCTGCCTATTTGTCCATGTGCAATTACCCAGATATGGGCTCTGTACAATCAATGGATACATGCATACATTTTGCTTATGCAATTTAAACAGTCACATTAGAAATGCTTGGCCCGGAAAGATTGTTCGACATGCATTACTGATCAAGAGTCAGAATTAGGCTGAGTTAGGTTCCTAGGAGGTCAGGATCATAAGTACAGGTAAAATACCAGAGAAAGCCCTAGCCATTATTTACGTAATCATAGAGGTCATTGGCCTTAAAGTCACCATCATAGGTTCTGCAAAGCTCTTAGAAATTATTCCAGTGCTAGGAAGTCACCTTTTATTATTTTAATAAAGAGCTCAGGGTTGTTCTCTTCACACGTAGCAGTAGCTGAAAGTACGTGGCTTTGGATGCTCCCGGTATCGATTGTTCCAGTGACCAAGGGATGACACTTCTGCTTCAGCTATTTTTGGTTCTCCTGCTAAAATATCCAGCTCCACAATGTGGGAGTCAGCACAGATGCCAGGTCCTCAGCCAGCAACACTCCTTGGTTTGCTGCCATTTCCTGAAAAGAGGCTGAAATGTGCTGGCAAGTGTCTAAGTCACAACCCCCCGTGAAAAGAAAGTTGTCCAAACAATGCATAATGGGCTTAATCCCCACTTCCCTCATAATTGCCCTTTCAAGATAACAACAAAATTTCCAAAAGCAGCACAGGATACTACACAGCTCCTGGGAATGGACTGACAAGGTTAAAACAGCCATCAGCCCTAGCAAGTAAAAGTCTCTTGAGAGCACAAAGAGGAGGAACAAAACCCTCTTGTATGTTCATTCGTTAATGCCCTGACCCACCCACACACCTAGAACCTGGCTACAGCCAAATTGAAAGAACTGTTCTTAACCAAACAGACCCCTGAAGTGATGTCATCATTAGCTAGACTCCCACTCTCAGAACGACAGTCAGAAGGTAATGCAGAGCTCAGCCTTGGACTGGTTTGGCACCATGCACAGAGACAATATCTTCTGGCTCAGTTTGGATACTAAAAGTAATTTGAACGGGGCCACAGCCAGGCCCATGTTCACACTTACTATGTTTAGGGGCAAGGTTAGTTTGATGCCATTGAATATACCCAGTTTTGTAATTGTTCCCTTTAACTTATTACATTACAATAGCACTGAGCAAAATGCTAAGGTGTGTTCTTAGGCTTGGTCTATATTTAAAGTTTAGATTGAATTAGCTACATTGCTTAGGGGTATGAACACTTTTGCACTTTGTGTGTCTTAGCTAGGTTGACCTAACCCCCCGGTGTAGATGTGGCTAAGTGGACAGAAAGAGTCAACCACTGACCTAGCTGGAGGAGTGGATTAACTACATGGCTGGGAAACCCCCCTTTGATCAATGAAAGAACTGCTTATGTTATGGTGCTGCACCAGACAGGACTGGTGTGTGGGTGGCCTGACCTAGGGGGTAATGTCAGGTGTGGGCTGAGAGTCCTGGGCCCAGCACCCAATGACCAGGAATTAGGCTGGGTTGGAAAGCCAGGAAAACAGACTCAAGAGATAAACTAGAGGGCAAGGATCAAGAGTTAGTTACCAGGAACCAGGCCAAGTCAGGCTCCCAGGAGGTCAGGATCATACATACAGGTAAATACCAGACAAGCAGTCTGTGGCAACGTGGAGCCCAGTTGTATGGACAACTTCCCAATTCCTCTTCTGGCTTAAATAGGGGCTGCAGCTCAATTAGGAGCCTTGGAACTCTCCCAATGAAAGCATAAGTTTGGGGATCCTGCTGGGCTTTATGGACCCCATCCCATCTGCTGAGTGAAGGACTGGGATGTGATGACTCCCAGGACTCCTGTGGACCCAGCTTCAGTACCCCTTAAGGCCTGACTTATAGCTGCTGTAGAGTAGAACATACCTTTAGTCTTTACTCCATTGTGCTCAGGCAAATTAACAACGTCTCCTTCAAAGTTTTGAATCCATGGGAAGTCGTGGTGCTCCACAATTTATAGAATGTATGTACGGGACCAAGTAACATTGTTTTATTGACTACTGTACAGTGCTACATTTTTTTTCTGGTAAAATATGTATATTCTGCTAAGCTGTGATATGCTCCCCTTGTTGGGTAAAGAATCCACCCCCTGTAAAATAATTGTAGGAACCTCTCACAGCACAAATAGCATCCCCTCAGCCTCTTTCACCATTCGTGTCTGCTGTCTGGAAACTTCGTGCTAGAAATGCCAACAAAGCAAATTATGTGCCATTATACAACCCCACTATGATCATTTCTGTAGAAAATGTGCCTTTAATAAGCACATTGTAAGAAAGTTCCCTTCTCTTTTGTATGTAGTATAATGAACCTTTAGACAGAATTTTAAAGAAAACCTAACAGTCACTAAGCTCCTATTTCTATGTTTATTTATCCAGCAATTTGCATTAAGCGACAAGTGTAATTAGACTTTTTTTGATAAATGCTAAGCAAACTGGGAGTAGCTTAAAAACATAATAGAGCACCTTGCAAGGATAGTGGTGGTATGGTGTGTGTGTGTGAACATATATATATATATATATATGTTCCTTTATTTATGCAGGGACTGGCACATCAGGACAAAGGTCCTGCTAATCGTCTTCTGTCCTCAACTCCCAGGGCAGTCACTAGGGCTTACGTAGATGAGACTAGATTTAAAGGTTTCTTGCTAGATGATTTAATCTATTCTAAATTCAAATCAAGACACTGTCATTGTACTCTAGTTTATGCCTTACCCTGAGGGAGGGACAGGTATAATCTGACCTACTGAAATTGAGCTAAAGGTGTTAAACTGGGTTTAATATAACCACTCAGGGAGGTTTTCAGCTGAGTTCAGCAATGCTGAAAGAAAAGTTTCTTTTTTTCCTTAGTTTACACAAGATGCTCAACTGCTTACAGGAGGCACTAAACGCCATGCAGTTATGGAACTCCAGGCCTGGGAATCTAGGTCACCAAACCTTACATGGAAGAGATATGAAAAAAGAAGGGTTTCTACAGGTGTGTTAGCATCAAGAAGAAGGTTGTGGAAAGTGTAGGACCTTTACTAAGTGGGGAAGGCAACCTAGTGACAAATGAGGTGGGAAAAGCTGGAGTACTCGATGCTTTTTTTGCCTCAGTCTTCACAGACAAATTCACCTTCCAGACAGCTGCACGGGGGAGCACAGTTTGGAGAGGAGCAGCCCTTAGTAAGGAAAGAACAGCTTACGGACTATTCAGAAAAGCAGGAAATGCACAAGTCCATGGGGCCAGATCTAATGCATCCAAGGGTGCTGAGAGAGTTGGTTGATGTGATGGCAGAGCCACTGGCCATTACCTCTGAAAACTCTTTGCAATCAGGAGGAGGTCCAGGACAATTGAAAAATGGCAAATGTAGTGCTCATCTTCAAAAAGGGGAAGAAGGAGGATCTGGGGAACTACAGCCTAACTTCAGTTCCTGGAAAAATCATGGAGCAGGTCCTCATGGAATCATTTTTGGAACACTTGGAAGTGGGGAAAATAATCAGGAACAGTCAACATGGATTCACCAAGGGCAAGTCCTGCCTGACCAACCTGATTGCCTCCTATGATGAGATAACTGGCTTTGTGGTTATGGGAAAGTGCTGGATGTGGTATTCCTTGACCTTAGCAAAGCTTTTGATATGGTCTCCCACAGTATTCCTGTCAGCAAGTTAAAGTATGGCCCGGAAGAATGGACTCTGAGGTGGCTAGCAAGCTGGCTAGATCATTGAGCTCAATGGGTAGTGATCAGCTGTCTAGTTGGCAGCCGGTATCAAGCAGAGTATTCCAGGGGGTCAGTTCTGGGGCCAGTTTTGTTCAATATCTTCATTAATGGTCTGGATAATGGGTTGGATTGCATCCTTAGTAAATTGGCAGATGACACTAAACTTGGGGGAAGGGTAGATATGCTAGAGGGTAGAGATAGGGTCCAAAGTGATCTAGACAAATTGGAGGATTGAACCAAAACAAATCTGATGAGGTTCAACAAGCACAAGTGCAGAGTCCTACACTTAGGAAGGAAAAAATCCCATGCACTGCTACAGGATGTGGACTGACTAGCTAAGCAGCAGTTCTGCAGAAATGGACCTGGGGATAACAATGGATAAGAAGCTGGATATGAGTCAACAGTGTGCCCTTGTAGCCAAGAAGGCTAATAGCATATTGGGCTGCATTAATAGGAGCATTGACAGAGATTGAGGGAAGTGATTATTCCCCTCTATTCGGCACTGGTGAGGCCACATCTGGAGTATCATATCCAATTTTAGGCTTCCCATTATAAAAGGGATGTGGACAATTTGGAGAGTCTAGTGGAGGGCAAAAAAGTGATTAGAGAGTTGGGACATATAACTTAAGAGGAAAGGCTGAAAGAATTAGTCTAATTCAGTCCTCAGAAGAGAAGAAAGGGGGAGGGGTTGATAGCAACCTTC